AAAAAATATTTAAAATTTTTCGAACGCATAACGAGTCTTATTTTTATTACCAAAAAACCCTGGAGCTATGTCCAACTATATCCATATACGAGTACTCAGTGAAAAGTAAGTTTATGTATTCATTAATATAAGCACAAGTTCCTGTGGGTTATTCTAATGATTTTCTAGAATGGATACGAACTAGGTTTACGAGTGCTCTTCCAGTTAATTTTCTTAACTCTTATATTCACACTGGGTAGTAAAATAAACAGAAAAGTAATTTATTTTCAATAGACGTTTTAGTATATATTCCCTGGTTATTCAAATATAGTGAAATTGGAGACTTACGTGTATGGAATATGGTATTATAGGACTTCCTTTTGGTTTCTGTAAAATTACTATAATCTCTTCGAGAAATTTGAGACACGGGATATCAGAATATAGTATTATTAACGAGCTAGTACGTTTGTTACCTCCCAATCTACGAATTTACTCTCTAGTCATTAGCCATATAGGTATATTGTATTTGTACGTTAAACTACTTTTTTGGCCAATAATTTTGTAATAGCTTTTTTTTGGGAATTGATAGTATAGACATAATATATTAAAAATCAAATTAATTTGAACGACTTACGGCCACGCACAGTATGGCGTGTGTGTATACCTTTGATAAGATTTGTAATTTATTTTATAAAAAAAGTTTAAACATGTTTAGAGTAGAGCGATATTGTTTGAGTACTAATTCTTGCTGAAAGTTAAAAAATATTTATCTGCTTATTTATTACAACTCATCGATTACTATAATTATTTTTAATATTTGAATATAAGATTGGTTACTATGGGTATTTAAACAATTATTGGGACGAAGTGCGGTCTATTAACATTACAGAAAATTAGATAAAAGTTCCGGTTCAGTATTCGAATAAGTATCGGATTGACTGCCTGTTGGAGGTATATTTAGCTATATTTTAATCATGTACAATTCCCGTCACTGAGGCTATATATTTACGAAATCGAAGAAATAAAAGTAAAAGAATAATTATCTATAGTTTAAATTGATACGGATAAATTCCGTTTCACGGCAGAGGTTTATTCGTTTACGTAAACTTTGAGATTGGCTCTAACAAGGCTGGGAGAGGCGGAGTGCGCGACGGTGATTTCTACTCTTAAAATCCAATTTAAATGCATTCCTCTGTGGCACAGGAGTCCCGCCGATACGCTCAGGAGGCCAATTAACTTATTCATCCTTAACATTTCATTGCTTTACCCGAATACTACTTTTATACTTTACTCGATTTACTTTCTCCGCCTGACGATTTGTATTTATTACCTGGATAAATAAGACGTGATACAACTAACTTATGAAGTAAAAACATTTACTCGCGAAATTCTTACAAAGACGCAGTGGCAAGCGATGTGTTTTCTTCTCTGTGGATTTCCTGTATACTACTATAAAGGATGGGTTTACGGTCATTTTTTCTGTGTAATAACGTAGTAAGTGACATTTTATGAAACTAACCAACTTCCATAGAAATATGAGTGACAATATTGAAGTCACTTTAAACTTTTACTCAAAATGGACGTACGAAAAGTAGTGTTATTAAATCTTACTATTTTTGAAAAAATTGGACTTGGCTTCGTACTTCACTATATACTTTTTGAGCTCCAGATATATAATTATGATTTCTGTATACACAATATTTTTATTTCTTATGAGCTGAAACCGAAGTTGTCCATTTCCTTTTACAAACAAAGTCATTTAAAATGCAATTTGAACACCCTAATAGAAACGTTCTCACTAAGAATTGTTGCAAAGTGTAATGGGTTCAGGTGAAATTAACGCAGAAAAATAGGAAAAGTTAGAACGAGTTTCCCGAAGGTTTTTTGCTTCAGCCAAGTAGCGCTGTGATTGTAAACTGCTGAATTTATAATGCCATTTTCGAACTTCACTTCATCGGGAAGTTTTAAACCGGTACCTAATTTTAGTCGCAAGTAATACATTTGCCATTCATTTGAAGGTAAATTCAATCATTTAAAAGTTATAATTTCGAGTTAAAAGATTTATTTGACTCGAACTTGGCGTACTTTTGTAAAGCTAAAAACACTCCGAGTGGAATAAGCGTTGCAGACATTGAATGTAAGTCAAATACATGACGGAAGCCTGTTAAAATAATTTCTTGAGTTCATTCTGTTCTGTTAAATTTTATATAAAAATAACAATTATATGAATACAGTACTTATACCGAATTATTATATAAAATATGTAATTTTGATGCAGTAATATCACAATAACCAAAAGACAAAACTTTAGTTTAATTCACTGAACCTAAAATAAGAAGGTAACCATTATTATAATAAATTATTTTTAAATGTACTAGTCCAATATTAAAATAAGATCACATTCAATTACAACATGAGTAAGTACAATATAAACATAAACATAATGATACAACCTCACCATCCCCTTTCTCTCACAGAGACGTCAATATAAAACTGATAACATCGTAAAACGGTTTATTTATCTGATCCGATAGACCTTCATAGCCCTGCTCGATTATAGGTAAAGGCACAAAGAGCTTAACCCTCTACTATCTGCATTTATTTGCAATCGAATTATGAAAAAAATAAACGTCGCTTTTTCGGACCCTATTTATTTGAAAAGGATGCGATGACTAAAGCAGATTTGCAAGATATCTGTACGCCGTCTGTGGATTACTTTGCAAGTCTTTTATACGAGCGAAGGCCAGTATCATCACTACTTAAGGATATTAAAATCCCTTCTATTTGTGTAAGGAGCTTGTTTTCTTGCTGACGGCAGTGGGTGTTTATCGAATAATCCAGATAAAGAAGAGTGAGTTGAGCGTTATATTCAACTACATTATTATTATATATTAATGTTAACGGAACGGAACGGAACGGAATAGTATAGTACAAGGCGCTGTAGTCTAGTGGTCTACTAACCAGATTTAAACCTGGAAAAATATTCCTTCAAATCTGTAGGTATCAAAAACTGTTGTTGTTAAATTATAGTTCCGAATGAGACTTCAGTGATGGAAAATATCCGAGAAGTAGGGGTAAACTCGTTACGTTCAATGTACATACATACATACATACACAGCGAAATGTGAGCAAGTCAAGTGTCGAGATAAACGCTATGGTGACTATTGGAAATATTAGTTGTGAAGGTATATTATTATTATTATTATTAATATAACTATAGTACATACGACATACATGTTTCTGATTGCATATTATTATTATAATATATAATTTAACGGAATGTTTTATCAAAGTAGATAATCAATTTATGGCCTGACCTATTGCTATGCTGATTATTGCAGATTTTCTGCAAATGCAATACAAAAATATCTCTTGAAATTAATACGACTGTATTTCATTACTACTACGTATATTTACTAAATTAAAAATGGTCATCAACAAACCTATGCATGATTTGGTACTCAAGTTGTTAATACTTTACGTATCTACCTAATATTAACCCACTGATTCTGTTATCATTGTGACCTTATAACAAATGGACCCCAGATATTTGTATACTCTGAATAAATCTGATATCGGCTGTACTCAGACTCAGTCTGTGCTAAATATTGAAACAATCTAGTTTGGTAACTAAAATAAATATAAAACAGATTACTTAATTTATTCTGTCTGTAAGTATACATAATTACATAACCAATTTACTTGCTCATAATTGTAATAATATGTTGAAAATATTTTATATTTTTTAGGTTAAATATTAATCAATATTTACCCTAACAAGTATAAAAATAGTAGTACCACGGACCTTAATCATCGTTTAGGTGGGTAGGTACTATTACTGAAAAATGTACATTTTAAAAGTGTTTTACAGTGTTTATTATTGAAAAGAGAGGTGTATTCCCGCATGTAATCAAAAATATTATTTCTAGTAAGTCAAAATCGGAATAGTCGAATTTTTTAATTGGAAAAAAAATTAAAACATATTGTGGCCCAACTGACTGTTGACTGTAACCCTAATTTTAATCTGATTTTAACGGTTCTTTTCACTATCAATGGCATATCGATGTTGTTTCCATTATTATTTTATATAATTTATTACAGATAATGTAATTTATATTGAAATAAAATTATTGAGTATTCTAGCAGTAGAGAATCCATGCGGTAGGTCCCGTTAAGTATTTACGAATATGTAATTATGTTATAAACAGGAAAACGATGAGTATGTGGGCAGAATATTGTCTAACAGTGAACTATTTATTGATTAATGTAATGAGTATTGAATTATATTTAATTATATGTATGTGTTTCTGTTATCTCTACTATTATTAGTTGTGTATATTATCACTAACTAATGTATGTTTAGTTTGTATGACTTGTGGATTGATGACTGACCTTGAATATTCTGTTTTTGAGTTCACCGATATTATTTTTAGTTAACATATACTTAATAATATTTATCGATTATCTAGAAGCTTAATATACCTTTTTACTTCTGATATTCATGGATTAATACTTGCACGATATATAATATATGTATTCGTGTGTATGATTGTTGTATTGTATATTTTCTTTAAAGATTATTTATAATAAATATTTATATATTTCTATCAGTTATATAATATAACTAACTACTCGCTCCGACCTTGCACGGGTGTAGGTACATGTATTATATACCTTCGCCTATACTACTTCACCTTCCTCTTGAATCACTCAATCTATTAAAAAAAAACGCTTCAAAATCCGTTGCGTAGTTTTAAATATTTAAGCATACATAGGGACAGACAGCGAGAGCGACTTTATTTTATACTATGTAATAACATACATAGTTCAAACTATCTTTACTTGAGATGGTGTTGTAGGAACTGTGCTGGGTTATTATTGTATCGTTACAATATAATAAATTAATAATATTTATTTAACGACGAAATTGTCATTTGATTTTATTTTGTAATTATAAAAAGTTATATTTATTGTTTTGCCTCTATTTTACTTTCAGATAACAAGTTCGGATCTACGTCAAATATGAATAGGACACTACTTATAATTTTAATTGGAGTAGCTCTAATAGCAGTGATTGAATCGAAGCCATGTTCTAGGTAATATTATATTGATTCCAAGATCACTTTAACAAGAGAATCTTTTTAGAAGAATCTAATACCTACCCCACAGATTAGTCTAGGAAACTTTCTGTCTGTATATATATTAATTTAAAATGAATTTTCTCCAGTCCAGTCCTTCAGCAATTATCTAAACGTGCAATCAACTTTACATATCTTATTGATATTGTTTCACATTACAGGAAAAGTAGACGGTGTGGCAGAACGAAATGTGCTCGAGATGACGTTGAGGTATTGTGTTTTTTTCTCAAAGATAACGGAATACTGATAGGGTCTAGAAATATTGATAAAAAATATCTTATTGCCAATGCACAATATTATTGTTTTCAGAAAATATTACGAACATAATACACGTGTTATGGATATTTACTTTATGTACTGCTAAGTGTTTCCAGCTACTCGGACTGCTATTTTAAAATAAAAATTATCCTATCTCCGTCCTGGTGATACAATCTGTCTTCTTATCAGACATTAAATTTGAGTAAAATTTGAGTAAAACAAACTTACATGACAACATGACAGAAAGTTTCTCTTCACACATTATCATTTGTAATATGCGACCATTATGTCGAGTTTACTGTGTACTTTTTTAACCATTTACTTTTTTGATACAACTTTTTATTTTGGCATGTATATAAATCCAAGCACACTAACCCGAACATTTCAATATTACTCGAATAAAAACAAAGATGATGATCCACTTCATGGAAAGACATAGCCTATATAAAATATAACAGGTAGGTATAGCATTATGGACATCACGAAACGGTGAGATCCGTTGTATCTCTTTATTGTTGCCATTCCTGCAGAGTCGTCTATAATGTTAGTGTACCCTGCTATTTAACTGCCATATTGCACTATGCTAACTTCAATACAAATTACAATGGTAACTACTAAGACAAAAATCCATACTAATAATAATATAATATAAACAATACACACGTAATATCAACACCCACACCGTTATAGACAATTATACACATGACTGCAAATGCTTGTACCGTGCGAAGAATAGAATCCGCGACCATCGGAAGTAAAGCGGTGTGCTAAACTGCTAGAACACTGAGACCATCAAATATAGTTGTATATGTATTTTTTTTACATTGGTATATCTACTGTATTTATTATCTATAGATTATAATAAATAAAAGATCGTTTTTAATGCCAATTTTGGGGAAAAACAGGTTACACGCTATCTGTAATTCCCCTAAACCGGCATTTACATACATATATATTAAGGAACTAGAGATTTAGCGCGACTTTATCTACGATTTTTTTTAGGACACTTATCATAATTAAATTGTGACTAATATGTTTGTTTTCTAATTGTCATTGCTTTGTATATCTTTAATTATTAAAATACTTTAGTCTTACGAGATTCATAGGAGAGACAAAAAAAATACAGTCTACTGGGAATGTGGCTTAAATTTATTATCTACCATACAGTCATACAGATCCATTTATTTTACTATAAGTATGATTCGCGCAATATTTTATCATTAACGTCAATAAAATGAGTTCATCGATTTCGCTTGAAGATAAGTATTTAGATCAGATCAGAGGCGAAGGTGTTGTTTATAAATTGACAACTTAATCTATGCCAATAGATATCAAATAAATAAATATAACTGTTATTTAATTATCATATTGATCTTGATACAGTACTAGGTATATGATTGATCGCTTGTACCATCATAAGTATAGTTTTATTTGATAAACACTATCGAACATATATAAAGTAATTTTATTTTATATGACAAAGGATCTTGTGGCTCACCTGATGGTAGGTGATTATCGCCGTCTGGGTGCTCATGGACGTTAAACTTGGTAACACCAGGGAATTGCAAGTGTGTTGCCGGCCTTCTTAAAGGTTCGATATTGTATCGGTTCGGATATACCATTACTGGAAGGTGAATCTACAATGTGATTGTGCGTGGCAAAGAGTTTCTAGAAAAACGCCATTCATCCAGATAATCAGAATAGTATTTTAGTTTCTAGCGGGTGGTATGATAGTAAAATTCAGCATTCTCAATCCGAACAATTCCTCAGAACACTTACCGTGAGATGCAATGTATCGCTGCAAAGTCAATGTGTTGAGTCTGTCACAAAGACGTTGATTACCAATGTTTCTGGATGCTCGATTCTGAATGCGGCCGAATGGAAATAACTGGTATTGTGGTGCTCCCGGCCAGAGATGAATACAGTATTTCATATGCGGCCGGATCTGTGCCTTGTATAGTTGCAAGCGATTGGCCACCGTAAAATACCGTCTGACTGTACTGGTCTAACTTTTTAAAGAATTTTTAGCCTTGTCCTCCAAATGACCGCAAAATTGAATACCACTAGATATATCAACGCCAATATTTCGAAATTAGGCTTCATATCAAGGAGAGTGTCTTGAAACTGAGGAGACATGATAAATAGAGTTTGTTTTGCCATAAACGCGCACACTTGTGTCTTCTTGGGTTTGAATTAAACAAGATTCTTCTAACCCTAAACCGAAACTTGCTGGAGTGAAAACCTTGTACCAAACTCGATCAAAAACCGATATCAATAAACTAACTTATAGAGCCCCCACTCTCAACTGCCTATGCACATCAATGTCACCAGCTGAGCGACCTTGGTGAAAGCCATATTTGCGATCAGAACTAAACTGGTTCTTTCAGCTATTGTATTCCTAAATACTTATGTATTTATGTACTTTTAGAAGTATAGCTGCGATGATTCATCATCGTCTTCATCATCATCATCATCATCATCTGAAGAAGATAACCATAAGAAATGCGTAAGTTTGTTTATACATTACGTTGTTTTTTAAGGTGTTATTTTACCAAATTTTCTTTGTCTTTACATAATTATGAATTGTTGTTTCTGTTAATGTTAAATAAACAAATATAATTATAAGGTAATTCATTAATAGATAGTTTCGTTTGGTTACTTTATTTGTTGTTGTAGTTTGATCACCATCAGTATACGTCGATTTACAAATGTTGATGCATACGTAGTTGCACCCCTAGTATTCAATATAGGAGTTCATATTAGGGTTACACGTTAGCATATATTTATATATAATCTATATATTGTACAATCTATAGTAATATATACATAATATAGTCATATATAGATTGGTAATTACATTATGGATGTATATATTTCAGTTATAACGTTCACAGTGAATATTAGAAAGAATATAGATAATACAATGAGTATAATAAAGGTACAAGGGTAGTCGTAAAATGTATATCAAGCCAGGAATCACACATTTTTATTATTTTTACTTTGTTTTATGATAAAAACTGTTTCAAAGGTATTATACTGGTGTACCCTTTAAGACTTACCCTGTATAATAGTCTACTATTATACAGGGTAAGTGAGAGTTACAGAGATTTTCAACTATTGACACATTAATGTTCATATTTTGCAGAATAAATATTTGGCTTAATCCAAAGTATCATCAGCAATCGAATTAATTTAAATACTTATCGGGTAAATATCAGTCATACAATAAAATATAGGTACTACATCATTCACGGTACTCTCCATTTCTTTTTATAACATTGTTAAGCTGTCATTGGGTTAGTGATCTTTTAATGTATGATATCATAAATGAATGCTGCAAGTATAAGCTTGTGTTACCGAGTTGTAGTAAAATTACTGGATATGAAGGCATGACGTCTTAATGGCAATAGGTACATGATTTGTCCCACAGTGGTCATATAATGTCCGTGGTGCTGTCAATGTATACAGGCTATTGATACCACTTATTATCTAATAGGCCGCTAGCTAGTTTGTCATTTCTGTTACATAAAAATATAACAAATAAAAAAACATAAGGTACTTATATCTTGGGCATATAATTGTTACGTATATCTTTATTAATTAAGAACAAATTTAATTTTGGTTATTATTGGAATAAGATCTTATTTCTTTGCTCCAGGATTCCTCGTCTTCATCTTCATCATCGTCATCGTCTTCGGAAGAAGATAAAAACGGATGTGTAAGTTATCTAATTATATTAAATAAAACACTATCGTAAAATAACCGCTGCTTCTTGAAACGCATTCGTATATATTTACATGTGTAAAATGGAACGGCCAGTAACTATAACTATTTACGATATTTTATATATTTATAACAAATGAAAATTATAATAGATTTGCATATAAAATGCTCTATAAAAACACGTCGTTATTTTATAAAATAACTAGCTGTGTTACTACTGTTTATAAAATAACCCGCTCTTTTCCCGCATGAAATTTATAGCCTGCATGCTATTCTGATGTATAAACTATATTAATGTAAAGTTTCATCAAAATTCGTTCAGTATTTTTTGTTTGAAAGAATAACAAACATCATTATCAATGATAGTGTTTTATAAATCCATCCATATTCATAAATTTTCGCGTTTACAATATTAGTAAAATTATAGAAATATACATATATATCTTATTATGGCAGGGACGAAGCAAGGGAAAAGATAGTTCATCATCATCATCTTCATCATCATCGGAGGAAGGCAACGATTTGAAATGTGTAAGTTAGTACATGAAATTATACAAAATATTAATATTTAACGAAATATTTATGCTATGTATGTATATATTATTTATTTATATATATTTATGCTAAAAGGAAACAAAGTTAACGTATTATATTTTTTAATCAAACCAGGGCCGGAGTAAGGGGAAAAATGATTCATCCTCTTCTTCTTCCTCATCATCTTCATCATCAGAGGAAGATAATGAATGTCAATACAAGCCTCGTGGTCACCACGTAAGTAATAATTGTTTACATACGTAAAATCAAAATTTGAGCCGGATAACTAAAAATATCCTCAGAGTCACTTCGTAAGATATTTTTTAGTTATCCCTTGTGTAGTTGCTAATTCCACTGTTATATACATACAAGCATGTACATAAATAAACAGATAATTAATAACAAAGTAAGGTACTTGGGGTATGAAATACATGAGACAGAGATTAAAAAATTCGAAATTTGACTTGGTGAACACTATTAGTTAATATTCTGCTTATTGAATAAATTTATTTTAAATTTAATAAGGTTAATTAACAATAATTCATTATCATATGCTTAAGGCTATTTTATTAAAATTACTGTTGTCACCCACTATATTTCAACTAATTACTAAAATAATTTGTTTGTTTGTAACACTTTATTGTACAGTTAAAATAACAGGATAACATAATGTACAATAATAAGTATTATGCTGCTTAAGGTGCTTTACACAATTTATGTATCCACAATTTTAATATTACACTACATTAGTAAAGAAAATTAAAATTTGGAATTAAATAAAATGTGAGAAGAAAGAATGTGTATGAAAAGTTGAAAATTCCAACTCTAATTATTTTAATTCCATTGATTTAGATTTATTTTAAAGGATTTTTTATCTATATGATATGGCAAACAAGGTGACGACCCACTGGTAAGTGGTAATGGTTGGTTATATTATGATATAAACAAAACTAATTAGGAATGTGGTTTCTCAGGCCAATTTCATCTCTTCTCCCAAAACAAAGTATGAGATTGAGATACCTGTAATATTTATAAGTAATAACATACATACAGATACATGTCGTTGTATTGTATGACTTCAATTAATAAATATTTTATTTTCAGATCAAAAAATCGAGACATTTACGAGATGTGCGGTCAGAAAATAACATACTAATTTAAATGCTTCTAATTTTTATTATAAATGAATTATATATATACAGGTACTGTTGAATACAACAACATTACGTAAATATACTAATGTTAATAATGTATTACAGCATGAATCAAAAATATTGAATACTTAAGTATTTATAAATGAATTTCTAATTTTTTTTTTAAAGCACCCAATATTTTTTTTATAGTGGCAAATAATGTAGCTATAAGTACAAATATTATATCATTATCACTTACGGAAAATAAACCTACATTTATTTTACAAACATTCCAATAATTACATTACATTTTAAATTAATGAAACAGAAAACATAAATTGATATCATAAAACTGTATATCCTAGAAAAAACATTTTCCCAATTAGGTACATGTCATATTTTGATTTCCAATAATTATCGTTCTTTTTTGTTTTTGTTTCAACTACTATCTTTACGAAATAAATTTGTCCTATTTATTATAAGTTTAAAAGTGTGTGTTGACTTTTCTCCCTATTATACATAATAGTACAATAATGTATATCAATATTGGATTTATGAATATAATATGTTTAGATTCCAATATTATAACATTTTTAATAAATAATGGCAAATCTGCTTACTCATATATAACTAAATAAACATAAATTTACCATATCTACCCTACACCACAAAAAGTACTGAGATATCATATTTGCATTGGTACTAACGTCTACTCGAGGTCACTCTTTTATGCGTGTTTTTAAGATTCTACAAGAATATTTATGAATTCGTAACATATTAGTGAAGTAATCAATTATAAGGATTGTATGATTTTCTTGATCATTTTGGGATTATCATAAACCTATTAATATTTATATATATAATATTTTTGAGACGAAAACTTCTGCATTCATTCTATTAAATTTTTAAGGTGTGATAAAGAATATCCCGTTTATTTTACAATAAGGGATGTTGTAATAATTAGTAGAAGCTATTAACATTAATTAGTACAAGTTGTCATAATACAGTACGATTGAAAGCGTTCACTTAAAACATATCTAGTTACTGTAACTTTTTATTTACCTATAAGTTGGCAAGCGCAGTAAAACATTGCAATTTGTTTTGAGAATATTCGCGTAATACCGGGTTTCTTCGAGCGAGACTCAATTGCGGCTCTAATGAGCAATAATGATGGAACTGTTCCCTAACTTTGTACGCCTTGTTATTTGTAAAAATATTAATTCATTTTCCGTTATTTTATATGTTATGTTACTCTACATAACCTAAATATATATTTAGGTTAGGTAGGTAATGATAGTATGAAATTATTTGATTATTAGTTCTTAATGAATCGGTTCATGAAAAAAATAACTAATTCTAATAATAATATAATTATCTCTGTAACAAAAATATATATCTAAAATATCTGATTTGTTTCTGTTTTATTACATTATCATTAGCTGTAGCGACCCTAGCGTAGCACATAGCTAATGGAACTTTTTAATGGATTATCAGATAAACGAGATTTTAACTTGTTTAAGTTTCGAAAAGTAATTAGGCAATAGAAAGTTAATGAATATCTGACAGTGAGCTGTGGTCTACGAATACAAAACTAACTAGATGCAACTCTTAAAATACTTACGAAACCTTTGTATCAGTGTATCTGTCTATTTCATCTATCGCTGCTCATACACGGATGAATCTCAATACTGTTATTAACATAAAACGCAAAAGACCTGTCAATAACACCATACCGCTCAAAATGGTCGGCAATTTTTAATTGTGGATTTTTATTTGTTTGTTTATAGGAAGGATAAGCTCTATCTTATAAATAAATAAAAATCCACAAACAATACTTTACTATTGTGCTGTATTTTAAATCTTATTATTGTGTTGTAAGTTTTTAAGTCAATGCAATGCATACAGTAATAATTTACTGCCGCAGTTATATTATTATTATTATAAATCCGAATTACATTAAAAACAAAACAAGAAAATCAGACAAGATTTTCTTCAGATTTTAAAATTACACGAGGAAAACGTATATACACTATTCTATATCTACCCGTTTCCTCGTGTAATTTTTCTTTATGTCAAACTTCATTAATATCTATATAGCCGTTTAGTCCTGAATATGTAACAAACTACCATTCACCTAATGATATGATATTCACCCAATACTACAAATTGATACCAATACAATATGGAGAATTATTAGAAATTGACTGTTACTTGATGTTGACAATAAAAACATTTGTAAGCATGTCAAATTAAATCTCATAACAACATTGTTATGAGTTTTAATTTAGTTAGGTATTTTAATAATGAAATACCTTCCTCGTTTATGTTTTTTCTGGTTTTTTTATGTCTAACAGAGAGATCAAAGGCTAGCTTCATATATCTATTTGATACTGATTTATCTATAAGAGATATATCTGCATTTGCTATTGAAGATTGATTTGTTTTGTTTTGTTTTTTATATATTTTATTCATAATGCTTTATTCTACAAATAAAAACATTGACAAGAGAGAAAGAAAGGATAGAACAGAGAATAGAAAATAAAATACAGTTGATGAAGGCTAAATTACTCTGGTTTTAAGTAATCATCAAAAACCTTAAAAAAAATCATAATTGTTTGGAAATCATGACTAAAACTAACGGAATCTTTGTTTTGATACATTTATACCTTGAGCCGTAATTGCATCTAATTATTAATCAGTTTCTACACAATTGGTATACAACTTATATCAAACGTATAAAATTTGTAAATATACAATGGCACCTTTCTTTTATTTCATTGGCTGATTATTACAACACAAAAATTAGGTATCCTACTCTCATCCGAACGAAATCGTTGAAGCGAAGCTGTATTGCGGGCGGCACTAACGAGAATTTCACAGTGATGGCCATCAAGAGTCTTCTCGGTCATAATATTATGAATGTTTACCCAGTAATTTAAAATTAAGTAGTAATGAAATGAATACATCATATACATTTAATTTCTACAGACAAATATAATATACACACAAATATTAGGGACACTGTACCTAAACTCTGTCACATCTACTTCTGATATGGCGTTGATAGTTGTGTGTTATTAATACTTTTTAAAATATGTTTTCATGGCTTGAAGCGTGAGTAACACGATAGTTTTATAATAGGTTAATACCTAACCTATTTATTCTTCTAATAATATTTAGTTATTAGACAAATTTATGAATTTAAGGTTAGGATAATATTTTTGGTTTGTTATATACATTTTGATACATATTTATATATAACATAATAATTCATATCTTCTATTTTGGTGTAAGTTTTATTTTAGAAAGAATTTCCTAGCGTGCATTTATACAGAAATGCATAAAAATAATATGGTAATTCCCGGTATGATATAATATCTGCGTGATTTTGGGTTATATTATGCAGGTTGCATTTTCCATGTATTACATGTATTTTGATCATCTTAATCGTTTATTATCAAGTGGAGAGTAATCAATACTGATAATATCATTAATAAAAAAACTACATTATTTTAGCAAATGTTGCGGGAGGTTTATTGACAAGACATTGGTCAAAACCTAGCTGTTTCATTTGAAGTATGAAATTAATCGGTGAAGTTACAGTTGTGCGTGTATGCCCATATACGCACAACATATTAGTTCTTCAGAATGGCAACACACAATTACATAGGCAGTCCTTTTATTCACCATTCCATATATTAAAAAGATTCGTGGCTAATAAACGAATTTTAGTAAATATCAATGAGGATGTTGTGACGCCGAATATGTGTTATCTATATAGTTAATATAATTAGCTACATATAACATAACTTGACCACCAGATAATTGTTGTGCTATATAAAGCATTAATAGGTATAATATTAGCCGTTTATATTCATATTTAAATCCATTTAAAAGTAGGAAGCAGTTTATTGTTTAATAAATACCAATAATCCGCCAAGACGATCTTCTCTATGTATTAGATATTCTATAAGTACATTTCTTATCTCATACAATAGGTAGGTGTTCTCTGATAGTAGGTTGTTGCTTGATAAACGAATGGTCAATAGTAATATAAGTGGTACTGTAATGTGTGTATAATGACGTCGCCGCACACGCGGATAGTCGTGTTCTTTATTCTCGTCCATTTGTTGCTTCAAGTCAACGCTGCGCCGACGTTATGGCAGGACTTCCTACAAATATTTAGAAATCCAATAGAAGACTTTAAACAGTCATTAACATATAACTCACAGACTACTACAGAAATTAATGACAGTAATGATAGTGATATTGTACGTTCGAAATCAATGATAAAAGTGCCAAATAATAGTAATAGGTGTGCCCCAGGACTTCGAAAGGACATAACAGGGGTGTGCAGAGAACCGATGTAGCCTGACAACGATATTAAACTTTAACCTTATCAGCAAAATCCTCAAAATGGATACAAGAATTGTACTGTTTGTGATTGTGATCATGTTACAAGTGAGTTTGCAAGTGGAATTTATATTTAACTTTCGTGAAAAACTGAAAGTGGCATCGCTATCCAAAGAAGAAAAGAAAACTAGTCAAGTCATAAGAGTGCCAGTACTACAATGTCCCGACAGCCAGCGGCACGACCGCCTTGGGAATTGTAGGGATAAATTTTAACGGTGAGACTATAATGAAAATAGCGACCAAATATACCTATTTAGAAGTAAGTTTTTAAAATCTACATGTTTATTACAATTGGACGAAAATAATACCGTGTTTGGACTACGAAAAACCGAATTTCATTTATGATTGTTATTGATTGATGTAATAACTATACACCATTATTTATAACTCCAAAACTAATTGTCGGATTTTGATCAAATTAATATGGGACATAAGAAGCACCAGCTGTCAAATAAGTAAAGAACTATCAAAATTGGTTTATGTAGAAAAATGTTGAGGTAACAAACATAAAAAAATATAGTCAAATTGAGTACCACACCTTTTTTTTGTAATCGATAGACAATACTGGCGATCCGGGTCCAAAGAATCGACCACGTTTTCCTTCACTATTGAATATTATGTACTACACACAAATCTAACATATTAAAGTGGACTATACATTATCATTTTATAAATAAATTATCTTTTTTACATAATTATTGTAACGATAAGAAGTTGTTACTATAATAATTTATAGTTGTATGTTAGTTACTTGACATAGATATGAACATAATATACATAATTAATTATCAATTGCCTTGAAAATTGAAAATTTTTTGTCTTCATATGTTTTGTTTTTTATATATGCTATTGACCTTTATATTTATTGCCGCAGTAGTACTATATTATAATTTTGTCAGAATTGTGTGTAGTGCATGAGAAATTCAAAGATATTGAATTAAAGAAATTTCATTCAATTACATATCATAGGATTTGTATAGTATTATGGTATATTTTTTAATCAAAACCGTTATTACCTACTAATTCAATAAAATTCGTTTTAATAAATTATTATCGCCGATTTGATGTTCATGTAAAAGTTCTAATAACAAAACTGTAGATTTCTACTACATTGCCTTATATTAAATCTGTTTGGGAAAGCATTTATAGTTATGAAGAGGATATTGGTCTAGGAGAGAACACCTTAATCAATAATAACAATATAAATTTAAAATATTAAATTCATACAGTTATATGTGGATTACAAATCTTTGACAGCTTCGTTTGTGTAATGATTTAGCACGCCTTACTTCCGATGGTCGTGGGTTCAATTTCTCTCACGGTGCAAACATTTGTATTCATGAATATGATTGTTTATGTTAGTTTTGGGTGTTATTTATGTATATGAATGTATTTATAAAAGAAAATGTATCTATTTATTTATATCAGTTGTCCCATTTGTACCCATTACACAAGCTCTGCTTAGCTTGTCACTAGACGGCGCTGTGTGAATTGTCCTAATTATTATAATTATTCAATAGTAACATGCAGCTGTGTATATAATTGTCTTATCATACATATGTATATATATATATATATATATATATATATATATATATATATATATATTATATGTATGTAATTGTCTCTCATAAGAGATTTATAAAATAACCAGAATTAATTTATTGGTAATAATCCCGTGATAAAAATTTTGCCAGAGCAGGAATTTTTGAATTTTTTTACATTGAAAAAGCCCTTTGCCCTTTTCTAACTGTAAGCTTTGACTGTAGGTGACATTTCAGATTTATACAGTCACCTGTTTACTCTAGTTTTATATCGACTTGTTAAAAAAGTCAGCTTGATTACAAAATATTCATTCATACAACAATTTTTGACAGATTTTTGGAAAGCACCAAGCACAAATTTATAATTATAAATTATGTTCGACAAATTGGTCGAAATTAATAGAAAATTATATCCAATTAATGAATAAGATTGATGATACACCTTATATTTTATAATGAAGCCTTATAGTATACTAACTGATACCCGTGACTTCTTCTTCCCCTTTCTGTTCGATCCCTTCTTTACAAAAACTCACGTCCTAATTGAACTCCTTCCTGATTATATTTTTGAAATAAAAGATTACCAAAAATTATCCTCGTTATATAGTATTTCTTACTGTAAATTTTATTAAGATCTGGTTATTTATAAAACAGTATTTACACATTTTCGAGTTCATAATATATATATTTATATATATGTATATAATATATTAACATGGTTTGAGGTCACACAAAGACAACCGATAATTAAACGGAACTTTACAATATTTAAATAAAAATAAAATAGTATTATCATGTTTTACAGATGATGCAGGATAGTCATCCACGGAAGAAATAAGAAAATAGCATTGAACGATGGCATGATGCATTCCGTGGTGCAGCGCTAGACATGTTGCTCGCTGATACTTGCTCGGGACGACATAACCTATATTAAATGGGCTCGGATCTGACTGAACGAGTTGTGCCGGTGTACCCACACTAGTGTTTATTGTCTGATTTCTACCTACACAATGTATTATTTTTTGAGAATCAGACAATTGGTGTAATTGTGTGACATTTATTATTATCAAATGCGGATATTAGTAACTAGTAATTTTTAAAACAGTCATATAAATTAAAGAATGTTGTCCGTTATCTTTGTGTCGTTTACAATAACCTTTTAGGTGATCTTTCTTTATAAAGTCAATATGTTATCTGAAGAACTACGACGATTCCTAAGGCATATTAGCTGACTTTCAGTCACATAAACAAGGCCGGCTTGACAAGTGAGAACGTCGCAATTATTAAAATGAAGTTTACCATTCTATTCTGTGTACTAATAACAGTTCAATTTAATGATACACATGGTGGGAAAGTGTTGGAGTTTCTTGAAAAGGCGCACGAAAGGGCCCATGAAAGGACGGAAAAGGCAAGAGATAACTTTAGAAATTTGTTTAGTTTAAATAAACATATTAACGAGACTGCAACTGATAACAGCACGAGTCAAATTCCAGCTGTTGGGCCAATAACTAACAGAGATAATACGGCTTCTACGCATTATTCTGATAAACAAACTGAGAGTGCTATACTGTTTCCGACAGAAGAATCGACCAGTATTTCTAAAGATAGTGTTACTACAACAACAGACAAAAGTGGAAGAGAAAACTTTTCCGGCGGTTGTGAGATGGATATCAACGAACTACAGACGGCAGGTGTATGCCTACATTCTAATAATATGATCCACACTGAGATATTTCATAAAACTATATTTTTTTCATACTGAAGTCAATTTAACCAAACAAATCTTTAGTCATGTATTTTCATTATTATATATGCATATTATACGTAGTTTTATTTTACCTTGTACACCACTGAAGAGTGCGTATAATTGAATAGTGATTAAATTTTTAACTGTCGTATTTTTTATTTGTATTCCTTTTGGTTCTGTTTGTTTTATTGCGTTGACAAATACCTGTCTTATTCATATACGTATGTAAATGATATTCAATGCTACTTACCTTGTGCAAAATTGCTGTTATCCTGTGCCTTTACACCTTTTTTCATATCATTCTTGGTATATTCCTATATAATAAAAGGTACTTATGTGCAGAATACATTTTTTTAATTGTAGTAATTTAGACTATGCATTGGCTGATCAATCTATGTGATCTAGTGATAAATTAATATAAAAAGTTAGTACATATTATATCAATTTCTGTCGAAGTTACACTGTTTTAGAGATAGATTTATGGAAACTGGGAGACTTTTTAATTTAACTATTTAAACAATGAAATAAAATGAATATGCTGTTATACTAATATATCTTAATCAATAAGAAATTTATGAGATTTTTTTTTAATATCATGAAATAATAAAATTAAATTTGCAATTCAATTTAAATAAGTATTATGAAAATAAATTACACCTATAGTTTTTTTTCCTTTCCTTTACGAAACTATATCGGATGACTTTGTTTACTGTATGGAAATAAATGTGTCGTAAAATGTTTATGTAGGTAATTCGATTGATTATAAACTAGTACCCTTTTTTTGGCAATTTATTTGATTCTTAAGAGTTAATTCATTAAATTCTTAGAAGCACTTGTTAAAAATAATAATTTATACTATAATATATTTTGACAATTAACACAATTAACCAATAAATGTGACCTTCTCAAAATTTAACATAATCATTATGTGTATACTTATCTATAGTATATAAACAGCGTACATAGATACATGCGCTGCGATATATTCGTAACGTCAATTTTGGGAAATTGTACAACATTAACTACCTAACTGGTATAATATTAATCATGATTAATTATGATTAAAAATAAATAGGTATACAATAAACAACCAATATCAATTTATTCGTCTGGAGTCACCGGTGCAACTTGAAATATACGAGGCGGTACTTTTTCTGTAGTGCTCCAATTGTTATTATTAACAAGCGCATCGCCATCTGTTGTCAACTTTAAATTGGTGTTTGATAATGAACCAAATATTTTATTTAATGTGTCAATATCTATAGTTTGGGTTTTAACGGAAGTGTCTGGAGCGCGATTTGAACCGTATCTTATGTCAATTTGTTCTTCATTTGCAGTACTTGATGGGCTTTGTTTATTTGTGCCATTATCATCAGAAAAGTATCTGTTATCTTGAGATGGGTCTTGTTCATCTGAAAGAGTTTCTTGTCGATCCGGTGGTGGTCCCCGATGACCTTGTGATTGCCATTTATGATATGGGTGTTGCCAACGATCACCAGGTGGCCCTCGGTGACCCGGAGACGATCCTCGGTAGTCTAGTGGTGGACCTCGGTAATATGAAGGTGGTCCTCGGTACGCTGGAGGACCTGGGGACCACCCCCAACGGTAAGGAGGTGGGCCTCCATAAAAGCCTCTACTGTAACCACTATATTGTCTACTATTAGGTGGACTGTTGTTCCATGCTCCTCTATAAGGCGGGCCAGGATATTGTGCCGAACGTTTATCTGAATAAAAAAAATGTAGGAGTCAATTGCATAATATTTTAGCTTACTTCTTTGCTTTACCTATAACATATTTAAAACAGTAATTAAATTGTAGTATGACTTTAACAAAAGAGTAAAATCTATACAGTTCAAAAACAATCTACAAATATTTTTTTTGTAATGGAATAACAATCAAGCTGACGACAATCAACCTGATGGTAACTACTCGTAGCTTATATATATGTGTACATAAACAGCACATCATGTTATCATGTGGCATTCGTGATACCACTCATGCATTGCCATTCCAGTAAACTAAGATGTCACTCCTCTTATCCTGTAATTTCACATCGTCCTACAACCGAAACACTGCTTACAAAGCATGTTTGTTGATAAAACTAAATACAGCCCATTGACATGAGGTACACATAGGTAAAGTGTTTGTTAAATTATTCCATTACCGTAGAAAAAAATCAAATCTCTGTTTTAAATATTATGTTATTTACCAGTCATCATCATAAAAAATAAATACTGTATGATGTAGATAAATAGATCCACGTAGGAGTATAACTTTATACAGTAATCCGATTTTAAGAAATTATTATTGAGTATTTTGAAATAAATTATAAAAATAATTAAACTGTTTAATTTTGGAACGTGTATTGGCAGTTGATTTGTGTCTGTCTGAACTTTTCATATGCAATACCAGTTTATTTACTATAGTCGTATATCGTAGTACAAAATAATAATCATAAACATCGGATTATTAAGTATTATTTTAATAAATTTGCCACTATATTTGATACACTAAATAATTACAATTTTATAAATTCTATTATTCTTCATTTTAATTTTAAATTGAATCAGTTTTGCAATCGTGTAAGAACCTTCAACTGCATGTTAGCAGTTATAGAATGAATCCCATATTGCTTGACTTGTATTAGACAAGCCATGAAATATAGGACTAAATAGAAGTAAATCTATCTTTATTTTTTATATTATAACATGATATACTTTGTATAAAGTAGTTTACATGGATACTTCTATTTCACTCATTGGCTACCAAGCAGCTTACTTTGTAATATATGTTCCGACAAAGAAATATTTGCTTACTAAATTAATTACATCATAGTTCCCAGTAATGACTGTGTATGAAAGGTATCATGGTCGTCGCATGATGACGTGAAGCCCGTGGTGTATATTATGAGTAATAGACGATGTTTTTTTGCGGACTACTCCAATGCTATTGGCACGCAGCTGGCCGTTAGAGGTTCACCGGACAATAGGAGCGAGTGAAGATGGCACTCCAAACTAGCGGAAGGAGCTGAAGGCCAAATCGGGAGTTGGTTTTCAGCCTGACGGATACACCTTTTGTTTGATGGCACCGCTAGATGTTCGAACCTCTGCTTAGGCCGTCGTAATTTCCATCCTGTCTGTTTGAATGGTACAGGGGATTAATTGGAGGGGATAGGCGACAGTTTCCATAACTCGTCAAGTAAGCCATCAGCTTGTTGGCCATTGCAGGAAGAAAATCTATTTTAAACGAGACTTGGATAGTGACCGATTGGATACCTACATCATAAATTCTGCTCTTTAGATATTTAATAATACCACATTATATCAATTGAAACAAACTAAACTATATAAATATTTATTTTTCTATAATAAATACAGGTATATCTTAAATTTTAATACAATTAAGTATATAGATCAGTAAATATAAGTGTTAAATATAGCATAATTTTAATTGAGGACTATTCACACCATTGCATCTAGTTTGAAGCTAAGCACACCTAGTGTTATAGGTACCATATAAATGTCTAAAATGCGTAAATATTTCTTTTGTAAATGCATATATAATATATATGAAATAAATATTATAAACATACAAGAAAGACCCAGACTACAAATATCCTCATTAATCCAAATCTTTATACCGTGCGAGGAATCGAATCTGCGATTATAGGAGTTAAGGCGGTATCATAAATCTAAGCGTATGTTAAATATAATATTCTTAACCAGTACGAGCATCTATAGGTATATTAGTTGAGAAATGTTAATAATCTGGCGTAACAGGAACTGCTTGAAAGATTTGTAGCATTGAAGGATTCATATTTTGCGAATATTCTCCATTAATGTCTGTCAAAGGCATACCACCACTTTGCGGTTGTCCTCTTATATCAGGTCTGGAATTGATTTGATTTCTATCTATTAGATTATAATCAGAAAAGTTGAAGTTTCCCGTATTAGGCAATGTTTCAGAACCCATTCTATACTGTGGGTCTCTAAAGTCCGGCGGCGGAAATGGTGGACGAAATGAACCATAATATCTGTGCCATGGAGGCGGGTATCCGAAACGAGCCCATGGTGGAAAAAATGGAGGCGGTGGTCGTCCATAAAATGAATATGGTGGGGGTGCAAAAGGCCGTCCATAAAACGGATATGGTGGTGGTCCTCGCCCATAAAATGAATAGGGTGGTGGATGGAAATGATGTGGATACCAATATGGAGGGGGAAACGGATACGGAGGAAATGGTCTTCTATAACTAGTTGATTCATTTTGCCTGCCTTCATACATTTGATCATACGGTATATGTGGCCTTCTAAAATAATCTGATTGTTGTCCAAATCTGTTGTTATATTGGGAGTCATATGGTTGCTCACCATAAGGTGAAGGTGATCCTTGTTGAGGTGAAGGTGATCCTTGTAAAGGAGCACCACCACTAGGTGATCGTGACTGCCATCCTCCAGGAGCTGGCGGTCGTGACTGCCATCCTTCAGGAGTAGGTGGTCGTGACTGCCATCCTTCAGGAGATGGTGGTCGCCATGCCTCTAGTGAAGGTTGCTGAATTGGCCTTTCTTCTTGAGGCGAAACAGCTGGCCGAGGAGGAACATTATTTGAGTTTTCATTACTGGCATACAAGACTTGCGGTGCCGTATTTACAACTTCACCTGAACGAGAAGGCCAGTTTCCACGAACTTCTACTAAACTATCATTTTCCTTGTTAAAAATAAATATCAAATCATTATTTCCTTGCTGATTCGACTGAGACTTCCCTTCTAGAACATTTCCGTTAGGAGGTTGTTGCTGGAATTGAGCTTGCTGCCACCAATTGGTTTGCGGAGATCGTATTTCTGATAATCAAAAAGAAGTCTCAATTGAACTTTAATAAATACTAATTTACTTATTCAATGAGGCAGGAATATGTAGCACATAGTTATTACGATAAGCTCGCCGGGAAATAAATTTATTTATTTTTTATGTATATCGGGCAACTTAATATTGTTTATACAACAACATTGGCCCTTATTATATACACCGTAAGGACTGACATATATAGTTTAACTGAAATACGCTTATTTTCCTTCATTTTACTTATCTAACAGTTTCCAAATATTTAATTTATATTGAGAACGTGTCCTTATACAACTTCAACTTATCATAATATTTACCTCAGTAGGAAAATAGGTAATAACCTAATTTCCAAAATACAACAATAAATATAATTTATGTCCGCAATGTAATGGACGACCTCGGTAGTCTAACGGTTCAGTACACCGCTTTAATTCCGATGGTCGCGGGTTCGATTCCTCATAAGATGCAAACAATAATGAGTATGATTGCTTGTATCGGTCTGGGTATTTTTTACGTATACTACGTACGTATTTATAAAAAAAATCTAAGTATTTGTATCAATTGTCTAGTACCTACCCATAACACAAGATCTGCCGTGGGATTAGATAGCGGTGTGATAATTATCCAGGGTTATTTATTATTTACTCAAACAAATATCGATATGTATATTAATATGTACAGGAATGAATACAATACAGTGAATAATTTTTTTTTTCATATTTATTTCAACTATACCCTTACACAATGAAATAATTATTTATTTAAAAATTTAAATTATTAAATCAAATGTATTAATTCATTCAGTTAGTCACCATAAGGTTAAACATAGTAGACTTATTAAAAATATAGTTGGTAATTAGCGGAAACTTACTATGTAAGTAGAAAATGTAGTAATTGTAATTATAAATAGAAGCAAGAGACAAATAAGCAGAAAAATGTTTATAACTAAATACAATGTATTCTATATTAATATTCTATATAAGGAATTAATTATTTAGTTCAATGAATTGTGATCTATAAGTGAAATTTAAAATCTTATAACATATAATTTACATTTATGCATGAACAAAAAATAATAAATATATAATTTACCTCTCACGTTTCCATAAACTGACACATAAAATGTATTTAATATAATCCATAGTCCACAAACTAATAATGTACACTTTTTTAACATTTTGTTTTCATTCCAAAACTTATGATTTTATAGTTGTCATAAAAGGTTGTATTCATTTGCTGGTTATGTACATAATGATTTAAGATGAGTCTCTAATTCTAGAAACTTGAAAAAAAACGAACCGGTTTTTTAAAGTATTATCATTAGACTCGTTTATTTAATAAGTATATTATGTTTACGTCACTACGGTCAATAGCTCTTTTCTTGAGTCGTTACACGTAATAGTATGCCTAATATTTGTTAGAGAATAGAATATTTTTTTTGACCTCTGTTACGAATGTAATTTTCAGAAAATGAAGTCCCAGAACTCAATTACCGGTCGCAACAATTTAAGAAAAGATAATTTTAAAATATGTTTTGAACCGTCTTATTTCAGATTCTTGGATTTTTGGACGTTCCCTATATTAACTAAAAAAACATTAATCATACCACTACTATTATCAACTCATTGTAGTCCATAGCTCAATATAGTATACAGCTGTTTGTACTGGTTTGTAATTTTCTATTAATGTCATATATGTCCTAAAAAATATAAACATAAAAAATGAAACATGTAAACAATTTCTGTTAATTGTACGAAACAATTGATAGATTATATACAGATACTATATCCCTATGCTAAGGCACTATATTCAGTTAATTATATGTATATAGAAAATACTAATGATAGATCAAAAAATAAAACCTTAATCGTAATTAACCGTAGCCGAAGGCCAACGTAGTTATGAATTAAATTTCTATTCACATAAGCCGTACCTACGTCATGAAGCAAAAAATATTTTTTTAAGAATTCAGTTGAGTATATTTTTATATTTTCATTTATAATAATGAGTTCCGGGTATTAATACGCTTGAATTTTCGTTTCATATTTAGTTTTTTTATGAATACTATAATAATGACAGCTAATGCATGTATTTATAAATAAATATGGTGATGCTAAAATTAATTGATTTTATTTAAAGATTATATTTGTAGTTAATAATAAAATCAATAATATTCTAAAATAAAAATGTTCAATGTAACTATAATAAATATAAAAATTATTTCAAATATATAATTACTTATATTTCGTAATTTCATTATTTATTAAAATATAACTTCTCCTTAATCTCTAATAAATGGATTGTACACAACATATTTATTACAATGTCAATGTTTATTTGACATAAGATCTAAATCACGGTGGGTTCACGTAAAGTGAAATGTAAAAGCCACTTACCTAATACTGAAAGCGGCGACAATCTCATTCCGTGCGACAAATTGAGAACACCTTCCGGTGGATGGGAGGCTCCAGCGCGGTCGTACTCACTGGTAAATAGCTATTTATTGTGGTATGGAACGAGACACCCTATATGGGAGAAATTTTGGGTAAAGGTATACTTACGGGCATTATGTCTATTGATAAATTAGTTTTTATGAAAGGGCCAAATTGTGATGAGTATGCAATGTAGTAAGTTTTATGATAAACGTAATAGGCAAGTAATTGTGTTTCATACATATTTCGGTAACGATAAATATAAATGAATAAAGATGGGTTTCTTGACAAAATAGGTAATTATTTTAACTTGATATATACATCTCTCGACTTATCGACTAGGATAGAGTGATTCGAAGAGGAAGTTTCATATGTACTAGTAATCGTTCAGTGTTCAAAATTCGGCCATAATTAATTTTCAGTAAGATATCGACAAATAATATTAATTTATTCTCGATTTAACCACAGACTTTAACAATAAACAAAAGACTATTTATACAAGCGTGTATGTCAAATACATGGTAGAGTGTGTAATGTTAAATTTATAATAAATATTTATTTTATTTATTTAAAGTAATTATTATGCATAATTAAAAAAAAAATGTATTCTGCACTCTTTTTCTATAAGTGTGCGAATATCATAGTTCGCGCAATTTTCGTAAAAAGGGGTACAAAGTCTCTTCTTAACGTATTATATATATAGATAGACAAATGAAAATTAACGTATATAAAATACAAGAATTTAAAAATAAAAGTATGCAAATGTCCGAAAATATTGCTAGTGTAAACTATAAAGATTTTTTTTCTAATATGGATTTATTTTAAGTAAATTCAACGATAGCGACCTCATTACGTAATTGGCTAGGTAAATAACCGTATTAGTATAAAAAATAGTTTATTTAATAACACGGATGTTAGAAACCTTGCATTCAATGGTCGTACGTACTTGTACAATGTTTGCTTTTGCAAAATCATGAGTTCATAATGTACGAGGGAATGTACCTATACACACCGTTTCTATAGTATAAAATGGAGATTTTGTAACTAATTCTATTATGGAGCACTATTTTACTTTTGATGAATATTTATATTGCAGATGTTTTATTTTATATATACAATCTTCGAAGTATCCACAGCTCATTATAACTAGTTCTTATTTCCAAGGATTTCTTATGCTCATAATAGTACTAATAATACATCCTTTTAATTTGGATCAACTTAATGTAATAATATTTGCATAATCAATCAGTTAGAGTGACATTACTCAATGGCTGATTATGTAATTAGAACTTAAATATAGTTCTTACCTATAAGGAAATGAAAATTATTTAAATGAGATCACATATAACTTTATCAGAACATTATAGTATATTGGAGTTTATTTTCAAAGTATAAAGTATAAACATATAATATTCACATCCATTCGATGTAATATTTGTACACATTTATTTACGTTAAATTTCGGTAAAACTGTGAGGCCAAGTGACGTATGATGGACACATACCACTAGGTATGTTAGGAAGGTAGGTATGTGCATCTCATATTTGTTTCCTTTATACTAATAAAGCACAGAAATAAAAGTAGTCTACGGAAACGTCTATCGAATGAGCATGTTAGAATGATCATTGAAACCATAGAACAAAATAAGTACATTATTCTGCCATTGAAACAACGATCACTCTCCAATCGCACAGTTTGTAAGGTACGAATAACATGTTATATAGACGGGTTCATAAATATATGTATATGCGACACACGTGTTGAATCAGTTGTATAAAACATTTGTGATACTCCAAATTATAAAACTGTATAGGTATATAGATTTAACTTAAACGAATGAAAATAGAACCAATATACTCATCTATACAGATAAATAAAATGCAGTGTCTGTTTGAAATTTCAAATTAAAAGATTGTTATTAAATACATCCGCAAGTATATTTCGATTTGTTTCTATATTTTAACCGTCCCTTCAGACACAAACCTCTTACTAGATGATTGTGTTATCAAAAATATGGATGGTTAACCACAAGGTTCACTAATAGGTCCATTATTATTGATGTTTCAAATATTATTTTTCTGTCATTTTTTTCTAATATACTTAAATCTAACATATCCACTCGTCACCTATAGTCATTATAATATTTATATGACGGTGTGAAATTACCCCGATCATGGAATCCAGTGTAAGGTATATTAAAAATAGGTGTAAAGAATATGTTACAAAAAGTTTAGTGATAGTGTGTTTGTACGAAGTGTTTTCTGGTAGTAATAGTGACGACGTACGTAGAAAAAACTAAGATAGCCGGTAGATAAATTTGTATGCTCGTAATAATTGTTTACAATCGCGCCGTCTTCGGGCGACTCGTGACCACGACGTTTATAACAGCACTGAAATATCGGAAGCTCTTATTATCATGATACATATAATCATCTAGTTTATATAACTTATTATAATGTTATAAACATTATAAAAAATTGTAATAAATAATAAACTGCTCCAAACTCTGCAGCATAATAAATGAAGTGAACTATGTATGCCAAAAGAAAGTTAGAATTATTTCATAATGATTCAAAAAAATGCTGTAAGCAGATATCATCGGCAAAAAATATCTAAGAAATTCAGAGTAAACGAGAACGCTGCAGTATTCTAAATAATTCTAAGCCAACGGGCAGTTTGTGAGCTGGCATCTAATTTAGTGCCTTTGAGATCAGAAGAGCGCTCTTTGTCGGCACGTTAAATTTGCAACAATCCGGAATCAGGCGGAAAACTATCGAAGTTTGGGCTAAATGAACGAGAAGTTTCTGACAGTTGACTCCAAGGACCTACTGAGGATGTCTTCCCTAACAGTCAACTCAGCTGCATCATTTGAAATGAAACTGATTTCCTATTCTATTTAGATCAAAGTTTTAGCTTTGATAAATATTATATATCACACATTTATTACATTTACACGGAAAGTGTTTTCTATTTCTCATAAAATAGACAGAGAAATTGGATGGAAAAACTATACGATTACAATATCAAATCATTTTGATTTTTGTTTATTTGATAGTAGTTTGTGTTCAAATAAAATACGCAGCTGAAAAATCATACTTGGAAACAGTCTCTTTAAAACTTAGGTTAGATTAAAATTACTATTATTGAATATCTTCTGAAAATGACAAAATGGCATTGCCTATTCTGTTAACTTCGATAAAATTATAGTAAGACTACCAAATTACCTGTCACTCATCTAAGAATACACCTTCCAAAATATGATATTTCGATACGATTCTTCTAATTTATCGACCATAAATGTTTATAGAGCCATTTTTTTAAGTATTAGTTTGGTTGTAATGTAACCATGAAAGGTGAAGATACTCTCCGGATACCCATGTGTTATCCCGGTCGTTTGTTAAGCTCCCGAATTATGTGGCGCCCTGGGGGATTCTGCAGCGAGAAACACAAAACAAGTTGGTTTCACTTTTTTTCGAAACAAATTTACTTTTTTGTCTGCATTTACTGGTTTACCTATCCCAAGCGTAGTCCAATATAAAATAGTAAAAATAAAGGTTTATATCATCATCATTTCAGCCCGAAAGATGTCCACTGCTGAACAAAGTTCTCCACTAAAAATGACAATCGGTCCTGCGCTGCTTGCATCCAACGCTTTTTAGCGATCTTGACCAGATCGTCGGTCCCCCTTGCTGGAGGCCTTCCCACGCTGCGTCTTCCGGTCTGGGTTCGCCACTCGAGGACTTTA